TTATTCGAGCATTGGTTAGGTTTTTTAACCATTTCCTTTTATGGTTATTGTGTGATTAGGTGGTTAGTTTTTAATGGTGATAAGAAAATATTCTAATTATAATTTAGTTTACATTTACGGTTATGCTTGTAAATCTTCATTGTAATTCTAGATATTTTATATTTTTAATAAAACTAGTTGCTGCTATAAAAAAATACTTATATAGTATACACAATATATATTACACATTAATATGTTTAATATCTACTTATATAGTATATATTTTCCTTACTTATTTTCAAATTATTTATTAAAATAATTATTATTTATATTGTTATGTTCTTTTAACCTTACAATCACTCAACATACTATTATAAGTTGAATCAAAATGTTTTAAAATTAAATTTCCAGAATTAGAATCTTAATTTCACATTTAGCATAGATGAATGTTCATAGTATAAGTATTTCTGATAAATTTTTAAGACTTGTATTTAAAAAAAACTGAAGAGTCTTAGACTTAAAATTATTTAATTTTTAAAAAAGAAATAATTTTATTAGTTTATTTTTTCTAGAAAATTGAAGATATAGAAAAGAATATAAAAAATATCACATAAAGTATTTATTAGAAAAAAAGCATATTTACGAACAACTTTGAAAAATAAGAACAATTAAAATATTAAACATTTATTCTGAAATATAATTTAAACATTCATATATATATATATATATATATATATATAATATATATATGCTTTAAACACTGACATATCAACAAAGCATTCATTGAAAATCGAACCTGTTTAGGATTTATTAAAAAAAAAGCAAGTCCATCAACCGAGGAGAGGACATCCTTTTTGGAAATATAAATAACGAATGATTGAAGGAAACGTAACTGGGAAGGGACTCTTTTAAAATTTAGGGAATAATAAAGTATCTTTGTTTTTGTGCAATTATAAATTATGCTTTCATCACTCAACTTTGGTTGTATTTCTACTTTTCAATTTTATCATAATTTTTTTAAATTATTCATTTTTCGGTCACTACACCGTTAATTTAACGACGCTATGACATGATATCTTTTTTCAGAATTATGAAAAGAAAATTAAATTTTTTTATTTTGTAAAAATATCCACGAATTCTTCCTTCCTAAAGTTTTAACTTAGTTTTTTTCCCTCTTATTTATTTTTGATGTTCAATAATTTTCTTTCAAATTCTAATCATAGAAAGGTGGTGAAAGAGGAGACAAACAAAAACAATAAATCTCGATTATATGTTGATCGAATAGTAGGGATTATAGATTGAATTCATTTTACTCGAATTGTTGAGTTGATTCTCGCTAGTTTTAAAGATATTTTTAGAAAATCTAAATTAATATAGCTGTAGGAAACGATTAGATAAATTCATCAATGTCTGGAATGGTCAGAGAGGACACCTGAAAATGATGATATTAGCGGTAGCATTATATGGGATTAAACTCTAAACAATTTTTTTCATTGAAAATACAATAAAATGAAGAAAAAAAAGGTGGAAATGCCACTCTGTTGTTTTTTGTTTAACGTCCGAGAAATCAAAACAATAACAAATTCAAAAGTTCAGTAATGGGATTGGGAAAAATTAAAATTGAGTGACCAAAAAGAACATTATCAAAATTGAATGATGAGAAGTGTAGTTTGCCAAATAGTTAATCTATTACTTGTAGGAGTCGTGTTGTATTTAGTGTTAATTGAACCAAAAGTCCTCAAACTACGACTTATATATTAAATGAGTCTTCGGACTTGGAATATTTTGATTGAGCCATTAAAATACCATAATCACATCAATCAAACCAATTTATTAGTCTAAATTAAAACTTGAGAGATGTATTAAATATGAATGTGAGTAGTTTTGTTTAAAAAAAAGTGAAAAAGAAAGAGGAAGATGAGATGGACAAAAGGAGAATTGCTGATTCAGAAGTTAGGTTGCTTTGGTCTTTAGATCCAAAAATCTAAAGCCGAAGAAAAGGAAAAGGGGGGAAATGTGTGTGTTTGTAAGGAAACTGTGGAAGAGAAGATCGGGATTCAGACCAAAAAGTGAGACATATGACGATGACGTATCCAGGCACGCGTATTTTAGCATTGCTTCAAGCTTCCATTTTTGTCCTTTCAGCTCAAGCCCCCTGTTGGTGAAAAGGACTTCAAATGATCAAATCCCTAAATCCCAAGGGAGCAACAAAATAAAATACAATAAAGTACACAAATAATCCTTTTATATGGTGCTATTTTATTGAATATTCTTTTATTATAGGATGTTATTTTGTTAAGTCTATTGATCGTTAAAAGTTATAAAATAATTTTCTAATTATATGATTTTATTTTAATATTTGTTAAGTCATTCGACTGTTAAAAGTCATGTTGACTACTATAATTATGTGTTTATTTTTAGGTACTTTGATAGTGAAAGATGTACATACTTTATCAATATAAACATGTGTTTATTTTTAGGTACCAAGATAACGGTAGATGCAGGTGCTTACATTGGTGTAAATCTAATATCTAGAAATAAACGTATAATTACACTATTGTAGATATGTATATCTAGATTAATGAGTTAAAATTCAAATAAAAAATAGAGAAAGATATTATTTGAATATTTTTATAAGAAAATATCATTATTAAATAAATTAGCTTATAAATGAGTAAATAACCGAATTTGTTCATAAATATAAACGAGTTAAACACAATTTTTTTCGTGTTCTTTCATTTATTAAATGAATATATAAATTTTGTTAATATCGCTTATTTAGCTTAATAAATAAACATTATACGAACAATCATCGAATATTCCATTCTTTTACACCATTATTTTAGTCATATTATACATTAGTTTGTGGAGTATTCATGTTATGTATTAATTTATAATTTTATTTAGATGTTTTAATTTTTTAAATTACGAGATTATAATTTAAAATTTTTAGTTATGTCCCTGTCCTCGGCTGCAAATATGTGTCGATTGGTGTTGTCGCCTGAGATCACAATAGCCTTGTGGTTGGCGGTCACGCAAGGAAGATGGAGTGTTTACTGATAAATTGGTTGAGGCAATAGCGTTCAATGTTGGGATCAAAATGGCCAAGGAGAAGGGTTAGTCTATGGTTGATACCGAATGGGACTCTTATGCGGTGGTGAACAAGCTCCCTACTCCGGCCCTCGATCTTTCTATCTCTGGATTCCATCTCCGCCATACACGCGCAGTTTTATAGGACGAATCCAACTTTACGGTTCGTTATGTCCCACATTCTGCTAACAGAGTGGCGCATTTTTTTTTTATGTCCTTTATTCCCATATACAATGGGGTAAGAAGGAGGTAAGATAATAGGTTGCCCCCAATACCAGGTTGAGAGCAGCTTCCATAGAAGACATCCGAATTATGAAATGCCATCCGTGGGACTCGCTAAATGGGCTTTATCTTGTAACTTACCCTTATGGTTTGTTAGTGATTTTCCTGATTGTATTTCGAGTGTCTTGTACTCAATGCAATTGGTTTAGTTGAATGGATGATGCGTTATTTTCAGGGGAAAACCTAAATCAGACTATCATTAAAATTTTTAACCAAAAAAACGAGTTTGGAACATATAAATGCTCAAGTGATTATTTCGTAAGTTTAATAGTTGCAGACTTAACAAATAGCGTCTTATAGTCATTAGACAATTTTATAACTTTTAATAGGACTTAACAAAACAATACTCTATAATTGGAGGACCATTTGTATTTATCTAAAAATTATTGAATTAAATTTGACTCAAGGGTTATTTTTGCTCCTATAGTGGACTTGGTTTATTATTTTCGTCCCTATAATATTTTCGCATCAATTTAACCCTTGAATATGTTTAATTACATCATCATAAACTCTAAATCTTTTTCTCAACTTAAAACCTTAAATCTTAAACTATAAACCTTAAACTCAACAATGAATACTAAAATCTTAAATCTTAATTCGAAACTCTAAACAACGATAAATATTTTATCAACACAATTAAATAATTTTAAAAATTAAAATATCATAAATACAAAAATAATAAATTAAATCGAACAAAAATAACTCCTATATCCCCCCTCGAGGATTGCTTTTTAGTCACATGCGTCCATTATTTTTCGAAGTAAGGGAGCATCTTTAGGGTCTTCTTTTTCGTTTTAGCCGCGGCCGTCTACTTAAACATTAAATAATTAAAAGAGAGAGAGTTAAATTCGGTGATGAATCAACCCATAACACGTTTTTTTCTTAGTTTTGACTAGTTGACCATCTTTTTTCCATTATTCAATCGTAATACTTAACCCTACAGTGGGAAGATATGATTGATTTGGGTAATCACTGATCTCATTCTTTGTCTTATTATAAATAATTTATTAAAACTGTTAGAATAAATTAATTTTGGATCCTTAAACTTGATATTTTCGAAATTTACTCCTGCGCTTTTATCTTAAAGTTCTTGAACTTATATTTATTCAATAACGTGACACTAAAGTTTTTGCACGAGGCACACTCTTAAAGCTCCATGTAACTAAAATATAAAATATTCCAAGTTCAAGAATTTCACAAAATCAAATTGAATGAAATTACTAAGTTTATGGATTGAGTTTTTTAATCCTTCTTAATTTACTTATTTTTTCTGGTAATTAGTTGATTTTATAGTTTATATGGATTAATGTTAAGGTATTTTATATCGACTTTATTTATAATATTATTTTATTTTTATTTAAAATTGAGATAAAATTATAAATAAGGCGTGAAAAAGGTATTCTAACAAAAGGAAATCCTCAACTCATTTGTTTTCAACTGTCTCTATATTGTTATGTCAACAAAAATATTGACTATTTAATAATCATAAAAAAAGTCTATTTCAAAAATTGAAACTTTGAGGTTTAAATTGTTAAAGTAAATATTTTAAAGATGTAATTAAAAAATATAGCCATTGAGATTTTTCTGCCATTGTGCCTATATAAGAGGAAAAAACACAGAGCTCAGTCCCACAGTTCCACTTTCCAACGTTGGCTTTCATGGCAGAAGCAAGTCCAAGGACTCGTCGTCGGCCGGAGCACATTTCCCAGGTTTCCGTCGCCGAAAATCAGCTGCCAGAGAGTCCGAGAGGCCCGATGGAGTTCCTCTCGAGGTCGTGGAGTGTTTCAGCTCTAGAAGTGTCCAAAGCCCTTGCTCCTCCTCATCATCATTATAATCATTCATTTAGTAGCTCAACTTCAAGTACAGCTCCCAAGTCCGCCACCAGCACCTCCTCGTGCACCACCGCATCGATACCGGAAGACACAAACGGCGAGACCGAGGAGCTCGATAAGGCGGCTACAAAGCCAGCGGCCAACATGAACTTCTCCTTCTCCTCATCCTCCGCTACTTCACAGCTCGTTCTTGAACGCATCATGTCACAATCGGTAATACATACAAACAAACATATTTCATTTGTGTGGTTTGGTGATTTGTTCTATTATATATGCATAGGAAGTGTCGCCATTAACGTCGGGGAGGCTTTCTCACAGTAGCGGACCTTTGTTTAGCGACAGTCCTCCGCCGGTTTCTCCATGGGAGGAATTCGACGACGTCGTTAAGGTATTTCCATCTCCTGTTTTATTATACATAAAGAATGCTAAAAGATGAAAGGAAACAGTATTTGAATATGAAAACGAAGAAGACCGACCAATTTTTCAACTTTCTTTCTGCTCCAGAGGAACAGTATCACTGGCCCCCCCTACAGGCTCTTACTTTAGTGTATAGCATGAATTTTCTCAAAGAAAAAAATAGTGTATAAAATGAATAGAAAATTGCAGAGCGGGAGCTTTTGTCTTCTTCCAGGTTCCAATAACAACTCTTTATTTTTTGTCTTATATCAGCTCAAGCTGCCTGTTTTCAGGCCTTAAAATCAGATTATTAATTTTCTATAACCAAATTTGAACCGGAATTGGAGACAGGTCCGGTGAAGTTCATGGGTTTTAACCATTGTAAGTTGTCAAATTTTAGCTTAGTAGTCACCATTGTTGTTTGCAGTATTTCCGTACCCACAATTCCATTCAACCTTTATTCATTGGAGGTCGGGCATGCGCCGGTACCGGAGTTAACACCCCGAGCGGGGCCAAGACGGTGGGGAGATGGCTAAAGGACAGGAAAGAGAAAAAGAAAGAAGAAACCAGAGCTCACAATGCGCAGCTTCACGCAGCTATCTCGGTTGCTGCGGTTGCCTCCGCCGTAGCAGCCATTGCGGCCGCCACCGCAGCTTCTTCTTCGTCCCCCACCTCGGGCAAAAACGAACAGTCTGCGAAGACCGACATGGCCGTCGCATCAGCTGCAACATTAGTAGCCGCGCAATGCGTGGAGGCCGCAGAAGCTATGGGAGCTGAACGTTGTCATCTTGCTCGGCCGTGAGCTCCGCCGTAACGTTCGTTCCCACGATGATATGCCACACTCACCGCCGCTGCAGCTACAGGTAAAAAGAATCTGTCTTTCTAATGACCCGACCTTCATCTTAAACAA